CTATAAAAAGGACAAGTTGCTAAAGCAAGAAATCACGTGAGAGCAAGATAAACCAATAACTCACTCATGCAGCAACCAATGACCATGAAATTTTTAGCACACATCAAACATCACATGAGTAGCATGCCACAAAAATTTCACTTTATTTGGAGCCCTACAACTGCAGTTATGAAAAAGACAAATACAACTAGAATTGAAAACCTAGATGCCTAAATCCATTTTCACAGCTAAAACTTTAAACTAAAACCTGAAGTATTATAGATCTACTGCATAGAAAATTTCACAAGGATTCCAAAAAGTCCATATTTACTATTTTACGAATTTCCTATGATTTATTATGATTTTCCAAACTTTCAGCCGATTTAAAACAAATAGGTCCCTAGGAGCACTATTCATATGAGTCTACGGTTCTGCAGAAAACCCCCTGGACTTGTTTCTCTTCTCGCATGAGGTCCTCCTCTCCTTCTCTGGCCGAGCAGAGCAGAGGAGCTCATCGGAGCTCGCAATTCCGGACACTGCGGTGCTCGTCGGCGGCAAAGGAGGGTGCTGCGGATGGCTGCCCTAGGCGAGGAGAAGCGGCGCATGACGGCGAAGGTGTTGCGGCACACGAGAGAGATGGAGGGGGCCCGCAAAGGCCGGGCCATGCGCACCGGCGGCGCTGCCCACGGCGGCTCCGTCGGCGGAGCAAACAGACGGCCAACAGGACCGAGGAAGGGGCGCATCGGGGGCAGCGCGAAGAAAGGAAGGTGGTCCTACGGTCCATTTGGGTGGAGGGAGGTCGTAGGCAAGGAAACGCGGCGGCAGTGAGCTTGAGTCGCCGGCCATGGTGGACGGCTGCACGGGAGCGAGGAGAGCGCGAGAGGGAGCAAGCAGGGAGTGGAGAGGGGGATGGAGAGGGCGTGCTGGTGCCCCTCCTCATCGGCAGTAGGGCGCAGGGCACGTGGAGGCAAGGGCGAGCTCAGTGGATGGCATGGAGTGCACGTGTCACCCATGGGGGGGCACGGCCATCGCATGAAGGCCATGGAGGCAATTCCTCGAGCACGTGGCGGGCATCAGTGTAGGCAAGGTGGGGAGCCGATTTGGGCTGGCTCGGGTTCGAATTGGGGACATTGAGCAAAAACAAAGTTTGCTCACCTTGGCCTGCTCTACATATTTCATTTAGTTACCAAGGTCATTAGGGCAGTAGATTAGCGGCTAATTAGCTCCTAAAATGCCATTGTCAACAACTTAATAAGGATTAAGCCTTGCTCGGTTAGGACTCCAATTTGTTGGTCAAAACATGATCAAACTTGACCCAACTTTTTATATGCTCTTCTCTAATGAAATATCTCCAACTTCTATTTTTGGGTCAAAGCATGATGCTTAATAAAAACTCAAGAACGCGGCATGCCAACCTAATGACAATGAATTCCAGACTTGGAATAATTCTAAGTGCTGAAAACAACAGCAAATTCGATCTTGTGATCTCGATTTGACTTACTTCCAAGCTGATCTAGCTCTTAGTCCAAAAACAAAGTTTGTTCTACATGATATGGACTACAACTTTCATTTAAGGTCCAACCTCAAAACTGGTATAGAACCTACTATTCTACTTTGACCAAAGTAGGATCACGATGAAGCTTAAATTATCCTTTTTGATCCATTGGAGCATTTTCTTGGCATTTGCCCAACATGAACCTTTCATGACTTTTGTTGTAGAGTTCATCTAGAGTCATTTTGGCAAGATTGCAAGGTTTGGTTGACATCTCATGTTCTCATTCACTTTATAGTGCAATTCAAGAGCACTTAGTAAAATCATTCCAACAAGGATATAACTTATTATTTCATGTGACTTTTTGATTCCAAACTTCATGAAACTTTTCGAGTGCCCAATATAGATGGGTATTGATGTGAGACACATGAAGATATCCCAATCACACCACCCAAGCATATATCTTGAAAAGGGGTCTATAGGCGAGCAAAGGTGCAATATCCAAGTTTAGGTTGGGGCTCGTTTCTATAGGTTTGACCTTGACATCGTCATCATCACTTAATATGCCATGTTTGAGCTCAAACCCATTGCTTAACTGGTGGCAAACGCCTGGGGTGTTACAGTTACAAACGAGAAGGAGAAAGGAGGGGTGTACGAGAGGCCCGGTCGGGTCCGACCGGAAGGGCCGAGGGCGACCGGAACTCCGCTATGAGCTAGGTGTTCACGCGTGTGCTTGAGGGGTTTCTGAGCTATCGATCTAGTGAGCCCGAGCTTGAAGAAGTGGACCTCTGGAAAATCGATCTCCTTTGTTGAGGGGCGCATCCCTTTTTACAGATAAAGGGATGGCTTACAGTGAGAGGAGAGAAATACGGATGTTTTAAGTCTTGTTGCCCACGCCGAATGAGGGTAGTGATGATGGTTGCACGCATAACCTTTGTTGATGTCATTTGTAGAATGTCAGGTGCACATGGGGGTTGCGTTGGCTTCTTCAGGAAGGGTGGACGTCGATATCTGTGAAATGCTGTTAGTATATGAGGAGCCCCACCACGTGTACCAGGTATGGTGAATCCTGGTTCCCACTATCGATGCCCAGAGGCATGTGCGGGGCCTTTTGCCGTATGGGAGCCCCAACGGCGCCTACAATACTGTAGACATAAATGTCGGCGCCTACAATCATGTAGACACAAATGTCGGTACCTCCCATCTTGGTTGTGTCGGTCGGTTGTGGAGCACTTTGTTGTTCCTTGAGCGTATAGGGTATGGTCACAGTACCGTGTGTTTTGACTTTGTCTTGTTTGCTTTCTCCGTTCGCCCCTGGTCCCTTCCGAGTGGGAATCCCGGTCGGATGGCTCCGATCGGTCTTGAGTCGTGCCGGTCGGAGAAGAAGAGGCGTATCTGAGGCTTCCTACGAGCCTCCGGTAGGAGACGCGGGGTCGGAGTAGGAAGCAGCGTTTTGGGCCAAGCCTTCCGATCGGGGAGTCCGCCTGGAGGCGGCCGGCGCCCGAGGCGAGCGCTCCGGTCGAAGAGGTGGGCCGAAGAAGTTGTCGAGCGGGCGTTCGTTCTTTCGGTGGACCTTTCGGTCGGCGACCGGTCTGTCCCCCCGGCCGTTGTTTTTTAGACTTTTTGGGCCGGCCCATGAGCTACAGGCTATTCTCTTGGGCCGAGCCCGGGCATTGAAGCCGGTCCCCGAGGGACCCCGGATTTATGAACCCGACAATACGTGTACAACCATTGCAACTTGTGCAACATCACAATCTATTTTTGCAACGTCTATATAAAACGCTTGCAGCATACCTCTCAAATATCTGAAACAACTGAAATATACTCTTGCAATATGTGTTTTCAACACAACATCTCGTTGCTGCTCGGCAGAATGGAGGCTCGTTGGTTTGTCGTGTTCACCGGAGGCAGCAACCCTGCGGCGCTTGTAGGCGGAGGGCCGGCGGCAGTGGTTGCACGTCGCGGAAGGGAGGCATCGGCCGTATGAGCGCGTGGGGAGGCCGCGAGTGCGGACACGCGACTTGGAGAGGGCGGCAACGCATCGCACCTGGCAGGGCAGGCAACCGAGCGCCGTGACTCGCGTTGTGCCTGGCAAGGCCAGTGGTCGAGCGGTGCGCCTCGGAGGCGGTCGCGCGCTGCGCCTCGGAGGGCAGCGGGCGTGGGTTCGGAGGTGGCAGACGAGCGGATAAAAGCGATAGGAAAATAAACGAGTGGATAGGAATAAGTGTATGAGCAATTTTTTTAGAAAACAAAGGAGCGTGGGTTGTTAGGCTGACATTGTGGCCCAAAGCGTCTGGGCGGATGGAAGCCCAGTTTAGAGCATTACCGAATTAGTTTATGTCAAAGTTATATACGACTCCTATAGTTTTTTGCATTCCAAAGGACCTAAATCGTCTAGTACAATCCTAATTAATGGCTATTCATTCAATATGGCCATAGATATATTGACTGACTGGGTTAGAGCATCTTCAGGCTCAATATCATCTCTCATCTCCATAAAACTGTCATATTAGGGGAGATGAGGCTTATTGTTCCAGTAGCTTGCCAATAGCTCTCTTTTTTGTCATAAAGAAAATCTCTCATGTCTCCTCAAATAAAGGGGGTTGCATCTCCCTCAATAATGTTGGGACTACACCAACTGTCATCTTCTTCCTTCCACGTCTTCTATTCTGACACGTGGGTCTTATATATTAGGGAAGATTATTAGTGATCTGCTAGAGCATCCTCATGGTATTCGAAAAAACAATATTGATGACCACCAACACTATTTTATTGGGATGAATTATTGATGAGCTGTGTATGCACATGTATATTTGTCGTTACTAGGTCTGCTACGAGCAGACTAAAATGAAATGTTAACCCTTATTAAAAAACGTTAATAATTAGGTGTTCGATTTTATAAAATTTAGACGATCCATTAGCCATCCAGCCGTCGCATCCCCTTGGGGCGTTCAGTTTGAGTAACTGAACGGTGGTGAGATGTATTGACTGATCGGATGACCACATCTATCTTCATCTTCAGATGAGAGCTGAGGAATTCTTAGTTGAACTATATGATCGCACAGGCAGGAGCAGCCTCTGCAACTCCTGCTCCGTGTGCAATCACTTTCTTTTTGCGAGACAATCACATTCTTTTTATGGAGGAAGAAAGCATATAAACAAAGAACCCCTGACTGAGTAATAATCAGAGTTTAAGCAGAGAACCAGCGTACAAGGAAGACAGATGACAGAACCCTCCAGCTCCAGGTTTAGACTTCAGAAGACAAGAGAAGAAAGAAAAAAAGTCCCAGACAGGGAAGCAGCCGTCGCCACGCCTGGCGCCCCGCCCCGCCCCCCAGCAAGCACGCCCAGCGCCGCCGCCCACCACTCCCTCTAGCGCACACTGTCGCGCGCTCCACGGCGCGGCATGGGCTGCTCCACCCACCCATCGCACGCGATCTGCTCTGCTCCATCCATCTGGAGGCTGGCGCGGCGCTGTCCGTGCCAGTAGTGCTATCGCCGCACGCGAGCGCCGCGGCGCCCCGTCGGCATGTCGCGCCGCTTGACCACCGCCGCCGGCCGGTGCTCGGAGCTGGAGCGCGTCATCGCCAGCCGTGCCCGCTCGCGTAGCCTCAGCCTTGACAACGCGCTCAAGCTGTTCGATGAATTGGTCTCCCACACCAGGCCCGCCTCGGTTGCCGCCTTCAACCACCTCCTCGCCGCTGTGTCTCGTGCCTCGGGCCGGCGCTCCTCTACCTCACAGCCAGAGCCCGTCGTCTCCCTCTTCAACCGGATGGTACGTGACTGTTACATCAAGGTGGCTCCCAACCTTTGCACCTACAGCATTCTCATCAGCTGTTTATGCCGCATGGGCCGCATGGAGCATGGCTTTGCTGCCTTTGGTCTCCTTAAGACAGGCTGGAGGATGAATCACATAGTCATCAATCAACTACTCAAAGGTCTCTGTGACGGAAAGAGGGTGGGTGAGGCCATGGACGTTTTGCTCCAACGAATGCCTGAGCTTGGCTGAACGCCGGATGTAGTTTCATACAACATACTTCTCAAGGGTTTCTGCAATGAAAACAGAGCTGAGGAGGCACTTGAGCTGCTACATATGATGGCAAATGATCGAGGTAGAAGCTGCCCTCCAAATGTGGTGTCCTACAGCACTGTCATCAACGGTTTCTTTACTAAGGGTCAAGTGGACAAAGCTTACAACTTGTTTCTTGAAATGATGGATGGGGGGATTCAACCGAATGTTGTGACATACACCATAATAATTGATGGCCTATGCAAAGCCCAAGTGGTTGACAGGGCCAAGGGTATCTTTCAGCAGATGGTTGATAAAGGTGTTAAGCCTGACAATAACACATATCCAGACAATAACACATATAATTGTCTGATCCATGGATACCTCTATATAGGGAAGTGGAAAGAGGTGGTACGAATGCTCGAAGAAATGTCTGCACGTGGTCTTAAGCTAGATCGTTGTACTTATGCTCTGCTGCTGGACTTTCTATGCAAGAATGGAAGATGCAGAGAAGCTAGATTTTTTTTTGATTCTATGATTCGGAAGGGGATAAAACCACATGTAACTATCTATGGCATTCTGCTTCATGGATATGCTACCAAAGGTGCTCTTTCTGAAATGCATGATCTCCTAAATTTGATGGTAGCAAATGGTATTTCACCTAATCATCAGATCTTCAACATATTCTTCAGTGCATATGCTAAATGTGGTATGATAGATAAGGCAATGCATATATTTGACAAAATGAGACAGCAAAGGTTGAGTCCTAATGCAATCAACTATGGAGCACTAATAGATGCACTATGCAAGTTAGGCAGGGTGGATGACACTGAGCTCAAATTTAATCAGATGATCAATGAAGGAGTGACTCCAAGCATCTTTGTTTGTACCTCCCTAGTTTATGGACTTTGCACCGTTGATAAATGGGAGAAGGCTGAGGAACCATTTTTGGAAGTGTTGGATCAAGGAATCCGTCCTGATGCAATGTTCTTCAACACATTAATGTGTAACTTATACAAAGAAGGGCGGGTCATGGAAGCCTAGAAGCTCATTGACTTGATGGTACGTATGGGTGTAAGGCCTAATGTTATCTCATATAATACGTTAGTTGATGGCCACTGCTTAACTGGTAGAACTGATGAAGCGGCGAAGCTACTTGATGTTATGGTCTCAATTGGCCTGAAACCTAATGAAGTTACTTATAATACTTTACTTCATGGCTACTGCAAAGCTCAAAGGATAGATGATGCATATAGCCTTTTTCGAGAAATGTTATTGAAGGGACTTACACCTGTAGTTGTGACTTATAATACTATATTGCATGGTTTGTTTCAGACTGGGAGATTTTCTGAAGCAAAGGAACTCTATCTCAATATGATGGACAGCATAACACAGTGGGACATCCGCACATACAACATTATTCTAAATGGTCTTTGCAAAAATAATTTTGTTGATGAAGCATTCAAAATGTTTCAGAGCCTATGTTCTAAGGATATTCAACTTAACATTGTTACATTCACCATTATGATTGGTGCTTTGCTCAAAGGTGGCAGAAGGGAAGATGCCATGGATTTGCTTGCTACTATCTCTACTTATGGTTTGGTTCCAAATGTTGTGACCTACCGCTTAATAGCAGAAAGTCTCGTAGAAGAAGGGTCGCTTGAGGAGTTCGATGGTCTGTTTTCAGCAATAGAAAAGAATGGTACTGCTCCAAACTCACGTATGTTAAATGTTGTAGTTCGGAGGTTGTTGCATAGAGGTGACATAAGCAGGGCTGGGGCTTACCTCTCCAAACTTGATGAGAAGAATTTCTCACTTGAGGCTTCCACTACTTCCATGCTTATATCACTTTTCTCGAGGGGTGAATATGAGCAGCATACAAAGTCTCTGCCTGAAAAGTACCATTTCCTCAATGAAGCCAACAGTTGAGTGTTGACAAAAAAAGTGAATATAGTATTCAACTGTGTTGATCATCTTTATGTGAGATGTCAATTTGTTGTGTGGTATGCTTTGAATGATGAAATTCCCTAGAGAAATGTCTTCTGCGTCAAGTTTATCAACAGGTAAAATTACCTTGTGTGCAGTCCTTGTTACCTCAACAGCAGGAATTAGTTTGCAAAGTAATGAGTTACACCGAAGTCTTTGCATTTTGTTTATATAATTTGTGAAGATACCCTGCACTCCCAGTGATAAATCTATCATGTTGACTTCTTTATCACTGAGGTGATTCCTATAATTTAAGCTTGTATATTGCCCCCATAGTTAGCAGTGTAAGAGCTTTGCTATGTTTTTACCTAACACATACTGTGTTAACAGCATCTGTCCTATATATATTTCTACAATGCGCTCCCTGATTAGTTTTCTCCTCTCATAGCATCCGCCTTTCGTATGTTGTGGTGATAATGGTGAAACTGTGCATGTGGCGTATCTCTGCTGTTCTTTGGAAAATGTGGTTAGAACTTTCCCTCTTCCCTCTGCAGTCAGCTCTCCTCTAGTTGTTTTGCTTTATTTGTGTTGTAACATTTTAATTCTTCTGTTAGATTGAAATGCATTAGCAGGGTTAGTTGGGGGAGATGTCTCTGTACTTATTAAGCGTTCACTGCAGGAGGAACAATGTGTAATTAGCAATAGAATTCCATGCATGATGATCAAGCCTAGTCACTTTAGTTTTAGAGTCTGGGCATAAGAAACAAACCATAGATGAAATGCCCTTTGAATATAGTTGCCCCTTTTAAATGCTTTGGCATAACCTTTGAGTAATATTTTGCAAGAGATGCAGGAAAGAGATTACAATTCATAAATGTTTTCCCTATATTTTGTAACAGTAAATAATTTCAAGCTTTCTATGCCTTGAGCATGATCATGGCACCAAATTGAAGGAGCCTTTCACCATTGACAGTACCCTCGAAGATGATCACTTCTGCGAAATCTTAAATCCTGTATTTGTTTCCAGGTGAAGCATAAACATATGGCACTTAAGGTTTCTTCCACTTTCTACTTTTAAGAAAGACCTGCTTGGCTATGACTGTTTTGAAGGTATTTGACTTGCTTTGTAAGATTCCCCATTACCAGTGTACAATGTTAGAATTCAATTTCACTCTAGATGCAAACAGGACCGGCGTGGGACAGAGAGATCCATGTTGAAAACAGAATAATAGAGGCCGGTGGAGTGATTCAGATTATCTCTTATTTTTTACTCTTAGGTTGGTATTGGAGCTACTGTAAATATGGTCGGATAGATGATGCATGTCATTTTCTGTGAAATGTTGAGCTTGGGAGTTAACAGTTAAGCCTATAGTTATTACTTGTAACTTCATAGATTACTTCAGACGGGGGAGAACTGAAGTGCCGCTGCAACAGAAACTGTATTTCAAGATGACGAAAAGCGCACATGGGAATTAGCATGTACTAACATAGTTCTATCTAGTCTTGGTCATAATAATTGTGTTGATGAAGGGTGTTATGACAAAGTGATTAGCAGCAGCTAATCTTGTTGATGAGGAGTGTTGCTGCAGGAGTCGGATGATCCTTCTTTTTTCCCACTATGGAGAAGAATGGTCACATTGCCAACTCCATCCATATTCTAAAGGCAGTTGATGGTAGTGGTAGATCCATAGAGCAACTTGCAAATTCTTATCATGATGTTTGGATGTGCAGTTATGTATTACTGATTTTCAAGGTTGAGAAAAAACCTACATTGTAAAGAATGTCCAACATCCATATTATCCTGACTGCATCCATATCAAGATGAAGTGATAAACTTTGCTACATAACTTCTCATCTTTGTCCAGGCTGCCAAGCATAAAGCCTACACTACTATCACTACTACAAAAAGCATTTTTAGGGGCGGCTAGTAACCCTTTGTAGGAGCGGTTTGTCCAGCCGCCCCTACCGAACCGTCTCTACAAATCATGCATTTGTAGGGGCGGTTCCCAAGCAGCCCCTACAAATCGATTTATAGGGGCGGTTGGTGATTGAGCCGCCCCTACAAATAGATTTGTAGGGGCGGTCAGGTATGTCTGAACCGCCCTACAAATCTATTTGTGAGGGCAACTCAAGAACCAACCGCCCTACAAATCTATTTGTAGGGGTGGGCTATAGTCTTGACCGCCTCTATAATACCTATTTGTAGAGGCGGTTCAATCTAGAACCGCCCCTACAGATGCGTTTTCCATAAAAAAAATTCAAATTTACAATTCAAATTCGACCAAAAGCTGTTTGTTTCTGCGTATTCCATCCGCGTTCAGCGTTCTTGAACGCCACGCCAGCGATAACGTTTGAACCGCGTTAGCGTTCGAACGAGCACGCGACCAACGTTCGAACGCGACTACAAGCACAATAGTATTATATAAAGTACAATTACAAGTCCAATTCGTAATGATATATATATATACAATCCATCATTAAATATACAAATTTCATACACATTGTTATCAACGTCCTAGAGCTAACCTTTCGGTCTCACGAAGGTGTTGGTGCGAGGATTTGTACCTAAGTCGGACTCTCGATCATGGTAGGCGCCTCGGCGTGTACAATCTGGTCCAATATGAAGTTGCAAAGGTCGCCAGCGAGCTCTAAGAGTTGGTCATCCTTGTATGGGTCTCTTTTCATTCCTTTCTCTTCTCTCCACTACAAGAAAACAAGTTTCAGATTTAGTATTTCATACCATTTATGAAGTTTTTATACTACGGGTGAAGAGGTTCAAACTTACCCTTAAGGGGTGTCTCTGTGCAAGGCACCGGTGTTACTCATCATAGAACATATATAGTATCCACAATGTACACTCCCGAGGCCTCTGCTTGGGGCCTTTGTGTGTTTGCATATGAAAATATTAGGTAATGCTTTTTTGTGACCATGTAGCGAGTCTTGAAGAAGTAAGTTACACTTACACGCACATAGTGTTTTTATAGCTAGCTTTTCCTTCCTCATTTGGATCATGCCTTCCGTGATGATGAGAGACATAGAACCTAAATGCCTGTTTGAATTATTTTAGCAAATACAACTTGTTAGTATGCATAAGTGAAGCGTTACAAGTATGTATACTGACATATAAGCTAATGAGGATTGTCGATATGTATACGTCTTGAGAATCGATATGAAGTCTTTGTATGTCGCCGGGTCCTTATCTATTGAATCAAAGACCCATGCCATGCTCTTCCCGACATCGACGGCTATACAAATCCGATTAGTTTTTGCATGGATTTAATCATAGAACTAGATAAGCTCTTTTACATTGAATAAAATATATCGAACATAGCTTTAAGTTATAGTTGAACTTACTCGAAGTTGTATGGTAGCCATATAGTAGAGTGTTGTTGGAGATTTTTGAAAGCGAGCAATGTATGCCGCAACCTTAAGGACTCTTTCCTTAACCGCTTTTCTGGATGCGCTCTTTCTCCCGAAGAGTCTTTCATTTGCTAGCTCTTTGGCATCCAGTGTCCACCGTTTAGGGTAATTAAAATTTGTTTGGGCTATAGCTTGAGGGTCTACATACCCGGCTTTCACACTTGGCATTTGTTTGACAATGTGCACTTGCATTCTACAAATCACGGCGTGGGTTAGTTACAACAAAATTCAAAGATTACATTCATATCATATCGGAGGACAAGAACTTACGGGCACCACGTGCGAATTAGATTCATCTCCATTTCTCCTAGGTGAAAGCATGTGTGCATGTCATTGAAGTCAAAGACAATTTTTCATTTGGGCTTCCAAATGTGCGGTGGAAAAGCATGCTTGTATGATATCTATGCTCGTTGGGAGAACACATAAGTACCAATCATGGAACCTTCTCATTCCAAGTGGTAGTATTTGGATGTCCCGGTTTGGTAAGAAGGGCTTGCCTCTTTCATATTTTTCGGGCAATCCTTTGACCATTCGATGGCATCAACATTTGGATCTTGCTTTGCAATTTGGTGAAGTTTACTCTTGGCGGCCTCCTCGAGAACCCCGTGATGGGACTTTTTAACTTGGTTTTCGGGCTTGAACCGATCATGGGAATACCACTTGGACACCAAGCGAGGCGTCTTTGATCGGAACATAAAGCGGCCTTATGTGGATTGGAATCTTCTTTCGGAGTTCCCATTCGAGCGCGTCCTCATCTTCTTGTGCATCACCTTCTTTGAGGAGGCACTTGTTGTTCATGTATCGGTTGTGCTTGTTGAGAAGGCGTGGCATCTCATGATGCACTTGCCCGTCTTGTTGGAGAAGGTTGTGGCATCTCATCGAGCACATGCTCGATAGGAGGCGGGGAAGAATGTGGCATCTCGAGAATGTGGGGGTCACGAGGACGGTGAAAATATCTCCCGGCCTCAACAACTCGCTCCAAATTTGGGAGAGGGGAGGCGGCAAAAGCGATCAATATAATGTCCCGTTTGTGCGAGAGGATGAAGCGCCCCATAACGCGTCTTTGAGTAACACCACCCCTCGGGAGTTGCGTAGTCTATCCTCCTTTGCATGAACTCGGGCTTCCTTGTATGCACCTCGACCCTAGTGTGATGCGGCGGTATGTTATTATTGTGGTGTAAGCCACCGGGAGGATGTGCAACACCGTTGCCACCTCCATCACGATGTTCTTCTCACGGCATTTGAGAAACACCAAGGTGCAACTAGTAGGTTCCGTATGAGATCGGACCGAGGTTGTGGCTGCAGTGGAACCTTGGCTGCTAGGAACTTTCGGAGGGCTGCCAACTAATGCCAGTTCTCATGGTGGCATCACTAATATACGTGGCTCCATAGACATTCCTTGCTCCTTGGCGCCTTGCAACTAGAGCCTTCACTTGGAGCTCAAGACTAGTCTCCGGTCTCGGCCATGTTTCTTGTACATGTGCTGTCCTCTTCGAATCCTTGCTTCCAAGTCATCCTTTTCCCTAGCCCCACAGTGCGGCTTTGTGTGCTCCTTGTTTCCCAAGCCAAGGCTAAGCTCGTCC